ATCTGTAGTCTTTATAAACAGTGATTAAGGGTTTCTTGGGGACTGGGATAATTGAATATCTTACACTGCGTTAAAAGGAAGTTTTCTCTTTTTGAGCACATCTTTGAATGGCATGAACAAGACAGCTGATGGCATCTATATTGTTTATCCAGCAGATCAAATATAACAACACATGGTTTAGATTTCATCTTTTTTATTTCAAGGAGCTTTGTTTCATACAAAATGTATAATGTAGAAACAACAACAGAATTCAAAGTCTGGTCAACAAACATAAATTCACGCAAACAAACATTTCACTGAATCCCAAGACCCAAAGAAAGGAATGTTCCTCGTCTTCTGCAAGGAGTGGAACTACCAGTAATGTTCAATACTGTTTTTTCCAATAGAAATTTGTCTTTTCAACAAACCCCACAGTTTATATCAAATATTAAAAAGTAACAACAAAAGGACACATGATATCTAAAAGTAAGTAAGTATATTACATGCACATACACTGTTAGAACATGCATACGTCTGTATTTTTTTCAAGAAGAAAACCCACATTTACACCGTCAGTGTTATTCAGGAATAAAGCTGTTGGACTGCTTCTAATGTGTGGAGGCTGACTGGTCCAGACTTGGTCAAAGGTATATTTTTCTTTAATGTAATACAGACACAATACAGGTATTTTGAGATGTTTTTTTCTTTTTGGCATTATATGTTGAAACTGTTAAAATAATGATTGTATCTGCAAAAGCATATGTCTTACACTAAAAGAATGACTTTGACAGTGTTTATTTACGAAAACCTGTTATGGTGACCTAACAGGACACACCTCATCCCTCTTGGAACTATGGGATCTACATTTGACACAGTTAAAGTGTAAAGGTAAATGTTATGCATGCAAATATTCATACAAAGTTGCTACAATTTTAAATATTCTTGTTTAAGCTTTGTGCCTTTATGCATTTTAAATCTTTTTTGTTTGTGTTTCACTTTTTTTCATAGCATTTTTTATAAAATATTTGGTCACAATCATGCTGAAGCCTAAATCTGAAGAGACCAGCGTGTAATGCTACAGGATGGATGGAGAAACCAGTTTTTCTTGTTGCATAGCCCTACTCAACTGTCTTTAGCTTGTGTCAGGCCCCTGTAGTGTGTGTTGCTGTGGTTAAACAAACCCCCTGGCTGTTCCCTCCTAACAGCTGAAGGGACAAAGTCTCTCTTCCTCTACTAGTCAGTCAGGTGCTTCAGAGCTTAACATCTTGTCCTTCATGTAAAAGCACATCAATAGGCATTTCATCAGAGACAATCCACCAAGTTGCATAAAACAGAGATTGCTTGTGTGTAAGTCAGCCTGCATATGAAATTCAGAGCAAAGTGCAGTGCAGTGTACCATCTGTGGTGACTGGCTGGGGATGTTACTGAACCTGTCCCTGAGCCCGGGTCTGCTGGAGCTTTCTTCCTATTAAATGAATTGGTTAAATGCAGAGGACAAAATATCTCACGCATGGGGTTTGGAAATAAACTATGTTTAACCTCGTAGGGCCTGGTGTCCACATATGTGGACATTACATTTTGGGTTGTCTAGACCACAAAACTAAATTTTGCTCCACAAGGGCCTGAACTCTTACAAGGATATTATACTGCCACTGTTCTGTCAAAATTTAAAACAAATGTCCTCATATGTGGATATCCAGCTCTGCGAGAGAGAAAAAAATCAGGCAAAAAGATAATTCTTTGTTTTGCATCAGGTCCCAATCACCCCAAATAGCAAAGTTAAATTAAAAATGCATGCCATGAAAGAGTTTGGGTCTTAGGAGGTTAATTGCACACTAATATGTTACTATCAATGTGGAAGTATTGTTAGTTTGATACAGATTCTACTTGAATATTTCAAAATAAGTGTTCTTTTGAATCTGGCATTTTTGGGTTATGATAGTATTATTCAGTGGTCAGGTGGATCTGTTGCCTGGTTACAATCCTCTCACTGTGTTTTGTACAAGCCAACTAGTCAACAATCTGCAAGCTCTGGGTACAACCCTGAAATGAAATACAAGATTTATATGTGTAAGCAGCATACTTTCTGTTAGTCTGAGTGTCTTTATTCAACCTGTAGAATGTCTTGTTTAATTTAAATAAACCATTGACACTTTCAAAGATTATGAATGATTTGGAAGTCACCAGACTTTTGCATATGCATCAATATAGCAACACTAGCCTTTTTAAGATTGTGATTAAAAGCAAGGCCATAGGAAGTAGAGGTACTGGGGATGCTGCAACAAAGGCTACGTTCACACTGCAGGTGAAAGAGCATCAAATGCGACTTTTTTGACCCTATGCGACCCATATCCGATCATGGTATGACAGTTTAAACAGCACAAATCCGATATTTTCAAATCCGACCTAGGCCACTTTCATATGTGGTACTGAATCCGATACATATCTGATGTTTTAGAAAGCGACTGCTGTTTGAATGGGCATGTCACATTAAATCCATCTTTTACGTCACTGACAAAAGACAGATGCCAGACAGTGCAAAACGAGACAAAACGAGACAAGCATGGCGGTGAGAAACGAGAAAGCGATAACTTATCATTAAGCAATAACTTAATGATAAGTTATTGCTTATCATTAAGCAATAACTTCACATTTGCTGCAAAAGGGTACTTGACTATGTTGTATGCTGTGCAAATTTGACTTTTGGGCTAGACAAAAATATTGAGCAGTGTTGGTCAAGTTACTTGAAAAAAGTAATCCGTATCTAATTACTGATTACTTCCCCAAAAAAGTAATCCCGTTACTTTACTGATTACTTATTTTCAAAAGTAATTAATTACTTAGTTACTTAGTTACTTTTTAAAAACACAATTTACAACCTGAAGAGGTGATAAAGCGATAGATCTTTCAGCCCAATTCTACTTTTTCTACATAATCCATCATACAAAATGTAATCAAATGGAAAAGTCTCTTTTTTTTAACTTGTTTTATCAATTTTAATCTTAACTTTATGCATCAAGCAAAGATTTAATTATACGCAACATTCTCTGACT